TGACCCTCTGTGAGTCACTAATCCCTACTAAAATGTGTAATGGAGGATGAAGTGAGAAATCCTCAAAGATAAGACAAGCTCACAGCCAAAGACACCTGGCTCTGATCTCAACTAGATAAAGACTATAGCCTCAGGCATCTGTCTCCTGGCTGAATTAATTTAATCCTTATTAAGGCTTAATTTAATAACTTGCTTGGAGAAATCCTTGAGTAAATCTGCCCTTCTTGAGTACTCCCTTCCCTTCTTCTGATAACCAAATAAATACAGGCCACCCAGAGAAGGTCTTGGTCTTAGCGCTAAGAACCTTGAATTCTGCGAGAGGGCTTTGATCCTCCTGGAGCCCTGCAATCACTCCATTTACCTCTTTTTATTTAGCTTTCACCACACACTCATTTGGAGGATTGTGGACCTGATCAGCCTGCAATAACTAAGGGATGTTATTAACCCAGTAAGATTTAGCACACAAACCATTAGGGACATCAACAGAGAAGTGACTGCAGATGTCTGAAGCCTGACACACATATAATTCCAGCACTCTGGGAGGGTGAGGCAGGATAATCACAAGTTCAGGCTCAGCCAGGGTAACTTAGCAAGTTAGGGAGTCTTGTTTTAAAATTAAAAAATGAAAAGGGCTGAGGATGTAACTTACTGTGAAAGCCCTCATTCAGTCCTCAGTACTGAGGAAAAAACAAGAGGAGAAGGAGAAGGAAGAGAAAGAGAAGAAAAGAAAGAGAATAAGGAGAAGAAGAAGAGAAGGAAGAAGTGGGGAGGGGAAGAAAAGAAAGAGAATAAGGAGAAGAAGAAGAAGAGAAGGAAGAAGTGGGAAGGGGAAGGAACAGAGAAAGAAGAGGAGGAAATGTTCTGAGCCCTGAGACCAAACATTTGCCCTGAGAAGAGACAAAGGAACAGAAATAGATGCATACACAAATATGTGGTCCAAGAAATAGATGGAAGTTCAGGAAAATGTAAGGACTTAGAGCCAAATGAAGAAAGTGTTTCAAAGAGGAAATGTCCAGGTCAATGGTTGCTTCTAGGACAAGGACTATAAGGATGGAATATTTACCTCTGAATTTGGCAACGTAGAGGTTATTACTTATTAAAACAATTTGAGAGGTTCATAAAGAAATACAGATGACTGTGAAGGTAGAGAAAAGAAAGTGAAAGAAAACAGAGACAGTAAGAATAAACAACTTTTCCCAAGAATATTTCTATAAAAGAATTTAGAGTGGTAGGGAGAAAATTGGAAAGGAAAGTGGTACTGAGAAGGTTTTATTGTTTTATCAAGATGTGGAAAAGAAAAATACCTTCATGTCAATGGGGCTGATCCAACGGAGAGGGAGAAATTTAGGACGCAGGATTAGAAAAAGTGAACTCCTATAGTGACACCTTATAAAGGAAAGAGGATGGAAGTGAGTTCATGCAGAGAGGAAACAAACCTAAACTGAAGGAAAATTGGCTAGTTCCTCAGTCAGGATTCTCTAGAGGAACAGACTTATAAACACGCATATAATTATAAGAGTAATTTCATTAGATTGGCTTCCAGCATCAAAGCCTGGATAGTCCACAGTGACCATCTGCATACTGGAGTGTCAGAGAATTCAGTTTCTGCTCAGTTTCAGAAGCTGGCAATTTCTGAATAAGGGAGGTTAAGGACGCAACCCCAGGCCAAGGCTTTAAGCACTGAAGCTTCCTGGAGATTTGCTGGTGTGAGTCTGCATCAAAGGCTGATAATAGAAAGGCTGATATCCATGGGTCATGGCCGCAGCAAATGATACATGCACTCAAGCAGAACAGAGCTTGCATGTGCTCACTGGCTCCCTTCTTTTGGCTTTGTCCTATGCAAAACTTTTGGATGGTGTCACCCACATTCAGGGTAAACCTTCTTTCTTGCGTTCACTGACCATCAGGCCATTTGCTCCTACAATGTCCTCACAGACCCACTCAAATACATCCAGAGATGTGCTTTATCAATCTCTTAGGCTTCTCACAATTCAAACAAGTTCTCAATCAAGATTAAACATCGCAATCATCTATAATAATAGGAGGAAGAATATATAGGTAAAGGAATTGATCCTTAAGTCGAAGTGGCATGAAACTTTGTGGAAGTTTTGTTAAATTATTTTGTGTTCACTTAGAAATTGGAGGAAAGTCATTAACAGAGTTAGCAGAGAGCAGGAGAACTTTTAGAGACTTGAGTAGAGTTAAGAACAGAAGACCGAGTTGACTGGACAACCATAACAGAATTTTCTGGCATCACTAAGAACATACTTGGTGCTTGGAGTCATAATTAAAGAATTATTTTTATACTTTTCTCCTTTTTGTTTTTATTTTTCAGTGCTTGGGATGAAATGCATGGCCCAAAAGCAAGTATTCTGCCACCACGCTGCATCCCAAGCCTTTTTTTTTTTTTTTTTTTTTACCATGTTCAGCTACACAACTACATGAGGAGAGTATGTAGGATGATAGACTTCTTCAAATGGAATTTTGACAAACAACTAGATGGGTACAGGGAGAAACACCTGGTGGTGCACTGCTGCCACTGATCATAGTACATATTCCAGTAAGGAGAAGAATAAATTGTATGACAGCAGTGAGGGAGAGTGAGATGTTAATATACTGTAAATTCAAGTCCCATTAGATTTCATATAAAACTGAAATTAAAGACTCAGCTTCAGGTGTGATATTGAGATTGTGGAGGAGGCACAGTTGTTGGTCATGATGCATTCTAGGGTAGGATTTGACTTATTAAAGGAGAGAACAAGGTTACTAAAGAGTGCACAACAAATAGACAGAAGTCAAAGTTGGTTCTTTAATGCATTACCTAAACTGTTACTGCAGTTACCAATGTAATATTGAGATATTGCCAGTAAACACAAAGTTGTTTGAGAAGTGAGATGGATTACCTGGGCTCAGCGGTGACTGTGAAGAAGGTCAATATTGTTGGTAATACGATTAGTAAGCCTTTCTCTCTTTTCCATTCCTCTTCTTGTTCTATTCTTTTTTCCACAATGTAGTGTGTAAATCATACTTTGCTCAGAATTGTGTAGAAACACATCACAAGGTGGATAGAGAATGAAATATCTTCAAATAAATACTAGTTAATTTAGTATTTGAAATTAAAGAATTGGAAAAATAGAAAAGATTAGGTTATCCCCCTCAAATTTTTGTTCATGTGGATGAAGTTAAACCTTAACTGCACCAGTCTTTGGGGGATCCAAATTTTAATTTGTTTTGAGAAAATATCTGAAAAAGAAATTACTTGTGATTCGAATTTTGAGGATTTCCTTGCATAGCAATCATGCTATTTGGAAATTTTATCACTGCCACTACATTTTATAATAAAGAACCAAATTGAAATATGTTACCACTCCAGTAAAGACATAGATCAGGCTTTGAAATGTTGGGTTCATTAAAAAAATCAATAAACTGACTCCCTAGCTCACCTACCCTTTCTACTTTTGGTCTCATGTCTATAATTTTGAAAATTATTTGTTTAATTGGAAAATGGTGCAGATGATATACCCAGATCCAGTAAAAAATTATCTGCTTATGGTATCAATGTATGTGTTACACTTCCCTAACATTGAGGAAGGATAAGATATAACAATATCAAGTACAGCCACGGATTGATTCAAATGTTTATTTCAGAAAAATGAACTTTTTTGTGTGTTTCTACACAGTATGGAAACAAAGAATTGGCATGACACATCCAACTTATATGTTTATTCATTACATTTAATGTTAACCTTCAATTTATTTACTTATTCAGAAAATAATTTTACTAAAATTGCTAGTTAATATATCATTGCTATGGGTTAGTATGTCATGTTCTGCTGGTTGCCTATTTCTTCATATAAAGAAGGGTAATGTTCCCAATTAAAAATTTGTATTTTCCAAAAATTTTTATGATATTGTCCTAGAGAATGAAACATAAAACATTTCATGGGTTGGACCTGGAATACACCCTAAAGACCATATGGTGGAGATGTTTGCCAGCTGATGGGCTTTTGGAAAGTGATTGGATCATGAGGATGTCTACCATCATCAAGGGATTAAGACACTGATTACTTTATGGTGCAATGGGCTTATTAGGAAGTAGGGCTAATTGAATGAAGCAGGTCCTGGGGACAGGCCCTTGGGGACAATATGAGTTGCAGCTCTTTTGCTCTTTCCCATCTCTGCCTAGGTAAAATACTCACGTGGAACTCAGAAGTGTAGTAATTATGAGTATAAACACAAAAACTACTGGGAATTGTGAAGTACAAAGACAGAAGAAGCTTTGGTATCTAACGAGTATGTGGAGGCCCTGTGCCACCCTGCAGCACTTGTCAGTACTATACCCTGCCTTATGAGCAGAATGCCTGACATAGCTCATGATCAGTATAAATAATTCCACCCAATCTTGAAATGAAACATTCTATGTTACCTTCCTCTCTGCAGTGTCAGTATAGAGATCTCAAATTAGGTTTTTGTGTGTGAACTACTTCCAAATCACCAGCCTTCAGATGTCACTCAATCCTTGTCTATCCTGAAAGCCTCCATAGCCTTTCCCAAATTTCAATTTTTCTGCCTTTCACAAATCAAAACTGCCACCTGCACGAAGTGCCACTGTGACAATCAGTATTGACAGTAGAACACTTGCTACTTTGATTATAGAAGGGTTTCAAAAAGAAACTTAGAGGTAGTCAAATGTCATTGTGCTAAGAAAACTGCTTTAAGAACTAGTACTTTAGCTGGATGTGGTGAGGCAGGCCTGTGATCCCAGCACTTGGCCACCCAAAGCAAGACTGTAAATCAAGACTAGTCTGGGCTACA